AAATGATTCCCATGTATCTTTATATCCTCAGTCTACTTTTAGTTTCTGTGGCCCATGAAGAAAAATAGCTATATTTTGTTTAGAAAAATGAATTGCAGTAGGTAAGTTAAAATTTCTAGTAACCTATATTTCTCCTCTTTTTTTTTAACAAAAAAATATTTAGGGAAGGGTCTACAGGGTACTCAGGGTCTCACTACTAGATCGCACTCATGATCTGCTTGTTTACAGCCTCCCAAGAGCTGGGATTACAGGCCTATGCCACCACGCCCAGGCTCAATTGCCATCTCAGTGTGCCCCAGGGGTGGGGCCAGCACGGCAGGCCCCGGGGATCGAACCCCCGGCCCCTGTGTCTGCTTGCAGGTGCTTTAATCCGCTGAGCTGTTTGGCTGGTCCTTCTTCCTCTTTTTTTTTTTGCTCCTGAAACCCCCCTCCAGTGTGTTCCTCTTTATTCATTTTCAGAGTACAAACTTAAACTTTGATAGGCTGAATTAACCCAGCCCACCTCTGGCAGGTACACTCAACCTGCTATATAAGTATAACATTCAATTTATTATTTCTTTCTCAAGAGAGTTTCCTCAGTCCATTAAGACCCAGCTCCCCTTCCTTGGGCTTTGGTGGAGGTCGAGGGGCAGCACCAGCAGGTCTAAGTCGGGGTGGAGGAGTTTAGTCCTTACGGGCTTCACGAGATCGATCTCTGACCACTTGCTGTGATGGCACAACTCACACAGTCGTGCAGCTCCACATACAGCTTGGGAAGCACATAACCGTCGAAGACACTCGCTTCGGAAATGTCCCTGACGTTGGCGACCTCCACCATGTTCCGAATGACAAACTTCTTAATGGCCCTATCCTTGCACCGGGCGCAGTTTGTGCAGCAAATAGGCTGTGCGTGACCGCGGCCCTTTTTGGCACCACCGTTGGTTGTTCCTTCTTTTTTTCGTCATCTTGGAAAGAAGGACTTGAAAGCTATTCCTCCTCTTTTGAAAACTCTTTTTTTTTTTTTTTAATTAAAAGGATCACTCAGTATTTTAGGTGCATTTTGTGTGTCTTCAGTCATAAAAACAACATGCACTAAAAGAAAGGATTACCTTTGTTCTTCTGTGGCTGTTGGGATTTGAAATTTTAAGTAGTTTTTTAATGTTAATTTTTATGTATGTCATATATGAACACAAAGTCAGTGGCACTACGAAGTTTACTAGGAATAGCAGCAGTTCCTTTTTG